TGATTGGTTAATCGTTGCTGATTACCCTAGGCACAGGTCGATATAATTGGCTGTGGTCAATCGCAACGTGGTCAAACGGGACGCTCCCCACGGCTTGCCTGCTAGGTTCGCTGCGATCTAGAAGTCGCAATGCGAGACGTATGTTAGAGAAAGACCGACTACTGCCTTCTATCTCTGTCTCTCTCGTTCGCATTGCAACTTCTAGATCGCAGCGAACCACGGCAGGCAAGCCGTGAACTCCCGAAAAATGGACACACTAAAGGTGCAATTTCATTGACGCTAAAAAGTAGCGTCAACCATTGGTTGAACAAAGAAGTAAGTAGTTGCTTCATTGTTTAACCAATGGTTGACGTTACTTTTTAGCGTCAATGAAATTGCACCTTAAGGCCCGGTTCCACAACTCGAGTGAATCCGAATTTAATACGTTAAACTCGGGTTAACTCTAGTTGTGAAACTGGCCCTAAGTGAGACCTCCCCTACCACCGGAGTTTCTAGACCTGTATTTAAGACCGTAGTCTGGACAATCCGAATCAAAACCCCTCAAAATGGCGTCAATGTGTGATGTGAGTATATAATGAAAGAGAATTTCTTATAGAAGAATTGAAGATACATAAAGAGAAAAAGTAAGTAATAAATAATATAAATAATAACACATAATAATATATAATGTATAACATATCAAACATTATAACATATAATTATTAATACATATAATACATATAAATTATTTTATCTCTAACTTCTAAATAATATTAATAAAATATACATTTAATTTTAATGATAGGCTAAACCATGCCTTATTGTTGTGTCACCAAGTGTTCCAATTCCTGCTTAATATTATGTAATATTTTGATATATCTATTTGTTTTGCTATGTATATGATCAAATTTTACATTTAAAATAAATAAAATACGAAATAAATCTTGTTCTTCAATGTTTTACCTTTATTCTAGGATTTTTTATTTTACTTTTCATTATTTTATTTATTTATATTACTTTATTTATATTAATGATGTTTTATTGTTCTTTGAATACATGTGCGTTCCCGCTGCATTTTGATTCGTTTCGCCATTTTGAGAGGTTTGCGAGCTGAATCCAATGGCCGCATTCAGCGGACTCAACAGTTGGGCAACATTCCTAGATTTTCCGATGTAACTCGACGCTGATTGGTCGGACCTGAAAGTAGAAACCAATCATATTCGATTGCTACTTAGCGGTTGAGTCCGCTGAATGCGGCCAATGACTACATTTAGACCCAGTTCCACAATCCAGTTAATCCGAGTTTAAGTAGTGAATGGACCAATCAGGATCCAGTTTAACGTATTAAACTCAGATTAACTCGAGTTGTGAAACCGGGCCTTACATATCACCATAGACCTTACAGATATGGACTGGCAATTGCCTATAGTTTCTGTAGAGAAGCAGTGTCCGGAGGAGGTTAGAGAGAGAAACATACTTTTTAGTACTTCTCTTTCTACAAGTGTCCGAAAGTATGCATTGCACTTGTAGAAAGAGAAGTACCAAAAAGTATGTTTCTCTCTCTAACCTCCTCCGGACACAGTCTGATACGTATTGCCAGTCCATACTTATAAGGTCTATGCATATCACCCTTAATCGGGTTTAATAACATCCGTAGTTCTAAGACTAACCAATCACATTCATTCCATTCTTCAGAGGAATAGTTGTGATTGGGCAGTTTTAGGCCCGGTTCCACAACTCGAGTCAATTCGAGTTTAATACGTTAACTGGGTCCTGATTGGTCCATTTGCTACTTAAACTTGGATTAACTGGATTGTGGAACTGGGCCTTAGAACTACCGATGTTATTAAACCCGATTAAGAGTGACGTATAAACGTAGTCAATGAAAAGATAGGCTGATGGCAGAGAACTGTCGAAATGTCTGTCGTAGTCGTGGACGTACAGTAAGACAGAGAAAAACGTAAGTCGTACAAGGCCATTGTCACAATGGCCTTGTACGACTTACGTTTTTCTCTGTCTTACTTTACGTCCACGACTACGACAGACATCTAGTTCTCTGCCATCAGCCATACCAGAGAGAAACCTGAGAGCGGCCACCAGCCTCGACGGGCACATTTCTCGATGCTTGACGCGCCGTCTGACAAAGTGGACGTGAACTATGTCATTAGACTCGGTAACGAAACATGGTTTGTGTCTATGATATGGGTTCATGTCCGAACTATTCAGAGATGGACAGTCGGATAAGAATCGATAATTCATCGTTCTGTCTTTGTCTCATCAATGACAGACCACGCGACTGCCACGCGACGAGCTTACGATTTTGCTTTCCTCTTTCTCTCGTCGCGCTTTCACGTTCTTCGTTATGATGTAATAACGAAATGATCTTCACATAATCCTAATTTTTTAAAAGTATTGGCAGACAAGTTTTCCAACTTTGTATGTCCTGTAACAAAAATACAACACATTATGAAAATTACGATTACATGCTTACTTCAAGCTGCCATAGCAATTGGTATACCGAATGTTTGATAAAAAAAATTTTTTTATGTCAGGCGTGTTGGTTATAATCAATTCGATAAAGTGATACTTCATAATAGCGCGTAGCAGTGCAAGTAAGATGACTGCTTGTCACGGCGCTGACCCGAGTTCGAATCTCTCTGCTGTCGTTTTTTTTATTTTTATTTTATGAAATAATAAAATAACAAATAATATGTATTGAATTTGGGAGCAGAAAAGGCAAAAAATTAATAAAATAATGACAATTATTGCACAAAAACATACTTGTATTGCCTATCCATGTATTGCATCTTGTATCCTTCTGCATTGGAAATCGGAATAGCCGTTTCCTATGCGAAAATCTCCCATTCTTACATTCTTTACTTTATTTCTGTACACGCACTTATCATAATAACTATCTATAGGGCACTGACTCGACATAGTGATTGTTTATTATAATGCAAAACAAAAAAATATAAAAATAAAATTTAAAAAACTTAAAAATAGAAATAAAAGAGAAATACAACACGTGATAAAAAAATAAAAAAATTACACAACCAACACAATAAAAGCATACACGCAAGTACGTGTACACGCAGAAATATTTATAGATAATGTGTCGTGTTATATAAAAGAAACGATAATACGTGTTGCAAAATACACAGATCTTACAGATCGTTAAAAAAATATAAATTTAAAACAATAGAAGAGATCTGTTATGCACAGATAATGAAGTACCGCAGAAAAATCACGACAGTGAAACGTAATTCTTTTATATATTAATAAAAGATTAAAGAATTTGTTTATTGTTAATGTAAAGTTATTTTGTATATCATCATACAAAGAATTATAGTTTCACAAACTGATTTATCTATCTTTTTGTTATTATTTTCAAAATTAAATATAATTACATAAAAAATGATTACATAAAATTAATGATCCGAATTATCGATCTCATCAAGACATGAGCCAGGATGATATTTATCATAAAAACATGAAAAACATAATGTAATACAATATCTAGCGCATTGGATGCTGTATTGTGCCCTATATGTGTGAGCAATCTTATTAAAACTTTATTTTTTTACAAGAAAATTATTCACATCATTCGATACACTAGATGTTATATTACATTATGTTTTTCATGTCTAACACTAACACGCAAATGCATCAAAGTAAGATATCATTCGCATTGATATGTATATTTTTTTAATTAATTAATTATTTAAAAAATATATAAAATAAAATATTACTATAATAATATGAGAGTTGTAAGCATTTATGAAATACAGATATAATTATTTTAAATAAAAAGAAAAGGTTTTATTAAAAAACATTTTTAATAAATGTCTTTATAATAAATAAATAAATTTGTCTCTATATATTGGGCGCCCGAAGTCGTCTCGAAATCCTATCCGAATTATGTAAAATGTAGCGCGTGAAATATGAGACGGGGCCGACAAGGGATGGAAGGAGACATGAACTTTACGATAGAAAATCACCGCTCGCCTCATGCCTACCGCCGCGTGATTTGCCATCATTGGTGAGACAAAAGCAGAACGATAGATTATCGGCTCTTGTCTAAGGGCTATCGCACACGAAATTGCATAGCTGCATGTGCATAGCATAAGACCATATGGACCAATGAGCATCGAGTATTAAGTCGCCATATTGACTTACATAACATAATATTCGATGCTCATTGGTCCATATCGTCTTATGCTATGCACATGCAAGCTATGCAATTTTGTGTGCGATAGGCTTAAGGGTCTATCCAGACAAACTTGCATAGATGCATAAGCGTATACATAAGGAATTTGATTGGACTATAAGCAATAAAATAAAGAATTGGACCAATCAAATTCCTTATGCATATGGTTATGCGTCTATGCAAGTTTGTCTGGATAGACCCTAACTCTCACGTGAATCTCCATCTCATGTGAATAATTCGGATATGAACCATAGCTCGGACATGAACCATAGCTCAGATACGAACCATGTATTATTATCGACTGTAATGGATGTAGTTGACGTCCACTTTGTCAGGCGGCGCATTAGGACAATGTGCTCGTTAAAGCGAGGTGGCCGCTCTCAGGTTTCTCTCTGGCCATACTATGAACCATAGACCTTATAAGTATGGACTGGCAATACGTATCAGACTGTGTCCGGAGGAGGTTAGAGAGAGAAACATACTTTTTGGTACTTCTCTTTCTACAAGTGCAATGCATACTTTCGGACACTTGTAGAAAGAGAAGTACTAAAAAGTATGTTTCTCTCTCTAACCTCCTCCGGACACTGCTTCTCTACAGAAACTATAGGCAATTGCCAGTCCATATCTGTAAGGTCTATGCTATGAACTGTGCAGACTCTGTATTCTAGGGACACTAGAACTCATCTGCTCTAACCGCCATCTTACTTGTGAAGTAGTGCTCTCTGGAGTACATTGGAGCATGCGACGCGAACAAACCTTTTAATAATTCCTTCTCCGCAGGAGGTCTCCACAGTCTCTCCTGCCGACCTTTATTTACAAAGGTAAACTCAGAGAAGACATGGCGGAATGCCAACTATAAAATTTGCGTTGAATCGTTACAATTTGATCTATTAAAGGAAAAAAACTTAAGTCCTTGCATAATGCCTAAGCATTAAGTGAGATCGCATTAACAATGAGATTGTAATAATAATGTGAAATTTGATTCGAAGATTGGAAAATATTTTTTTCGCTGTATATGCAAAGGTATAGTCATCCAGGTGGGTCATTGCTACTTAATCGTGTTCTAATTTTTTTTTTCGATTCTGTAGAATAAGAGTACTTGGCATTATTGTTAGCCTCCTTTGATTGATCTACAATTTATATAATCAATCTCATGTATAAGAATATTGATATATACACGGTAACAGTATAAAACAGTGTATTTTCTTTTGCATAGCATGTAATTCTGAAAACGGTAATAAATATATTTCTTTTGTTTGTGTATTGCATGTAAATGAGATATATATGGAGATATATGAGATTTTATTCAAATAAAACATGTATTTAATGTTTCAGTTTTTCTTTTATCTTATATATTTGTTACTGTATATATAATTGGCATATTAATAAAGGTTACCAAATAATGTATTATTTTAAAAGAGAATATTGTATCAAAATATTCAGATATATTTTAATAATTGCAGGAAAAAGATGTCAGGTGAATACAGTCGAAATATTTTAAAAATAGTTGTCGCTCAGATCTGTCAAATGATAGGGTGGCACTCTATTAATTCTACACCATTAGAATTTATGGTAGATCTTATGCAAGAATATTTGTTACGTGTTTCAAGGCTAACACATCAATATGCAGAAGTTTGTAAGTAGTTGTTTTATTATTTTTTGGTAATTCTTGCTTTTTTGTGTTATTAAAGCCCTTTTTACTTCTTTTAAACGATTTAGTAAATGAAAATATATTATAAATATATATTATAAATAAGATTTGTATTTTTCATATTCTTAAGATTTTGTTAATATTAAACATTTTGAGTCAGTTATTTATTTTGTATATTTGTCATAGTTAATAATTAATGTTTATATATATATAGATAATTTGGATTTGTGGTATATTTACTTTGCAGTGGGCAGGACAGAGCCAAATCTTGATGACTTAGGATTAACATTTCAACATATGAATATTGATATACAGGAATTAATTGAATATGTCAAGAATGTAGATTCCATTCCTTATCCTATACAGATACCACAATATCCAGTTCGGCGTGAAAATCATTTAAATTTTTTAAAACCAGGCAGTCGTGAAGTTGTCACTAGATCAGTGCATATACATGAACATTTGCCAGCTATGTATCCAGATACTGAAGGTACGATAATAAATTATATTTTCTAAATTGAGTGAAATTCTTTCTAATAGGATGTCTACTTTCTGAAAATACATGGAAAACCTGGAATTTTCAGGAATTTCTTTACTTTTTACCTATAAAAATTAGAAAATTCTCAAGGAATTTTTTTTTTAAAATCTCCAATAATTTTACTATCTTATAAACAACCCAAATATATAAATTATGCATTTAAAATATATTATAAATATATATTATCTTTATGTAATATCAATATCGCATTATTTTAGAATATTAAATATGTAGTATACAGGGTGTCCCAAAAGTCCCGGACTGGTCGAATATTTCATAAACTATGCACTTTAGAAAGAAATGTTTCAGACAAAAGTTGTATGGCTTGAAGGGGGCCAGATAGTGGCAATGATTTGACATGAGAGAGTTGAAAGTCACGTGAAGATCACCGTCAATTTCTTAAATGGAACTCCCTATTTCTTATTACATATTCGTGTAGCTTATCTCGAGAGCTTTCCAAAACACTATAATTAAATATTTCTTCATTGAGTACCTTTCGAGTTATAAGGCTTGAAATCATTTCTTAATTTTACATAAACTATAAAATATTTTGTAAAATATTCATTTTTCGATTATCTTACCTTAATAATTTTATGTACAAAATAATGAGAGGAATCAATTGGTGTAAAGAAAAAACATAGTTGTTTTTAAGAAAAAAATATGTAATTTGCAATTAACAATTACATATTTTTTTTTAAACATCTATGTGTTTTCTCTACACCAATTGATTCCTCTCATTATTTTGTACATAAAAAGTATTAAGGTAAGATAATCGAAAAATGAATATTTTACTAGATATTTTATGGTTTATGCAAAATTAAGAAATGATTTCAAGCTTCATAACTCGAAAAGTACTCAATGAAGAAATACTTTATTATAGTGTTTTAGAAAGCTCTCAAGATAAGCTACACGAATATGTAATAAAAAATAGGGGGTTCCATTTAAGAAATTGACGGTGATCTTCATGTGACTTTCAAATGACTCTCTCATGTCAAATCATTGCCACTGTCTGATGGGCCCCTTCAAGCCATACAACTTATGTCTGAAACATTTCTTTCTAAAGTGCATAGTTCATGAAATATTCGACCGGTCCGGGACTTTTGGGACAGCCTGTATATATTTTATTGTAGTTTTTAATGAAAAAAAGTGAAAATATTCATGTAAAAAATGTTTATCCTATGAAAATTATTCATTTTTATACATTTTCTAATACATTTATAAATTTAACACTTGAAACTTAAGAGCCTTTATTTTTTCTTCATATGATTAAAAAACATTAAAAGATGCATACAATAAAAAAATTTACTTTAAACAAGTTGTACTAAAAAAAATCTTTAAAATATTCTTTTTATCTGGAATTCTGAACAAACATCTGGAAGATCATTTTAAAAGAAATGTTTACCAGATTTGAGTAGACATCTTGCGTGATAACATAATTACATTAATTTATATTTATATTGTATAATAAATTACAGAGGAATATATACCAGAAAAAAATGAAAGTTTAATGAATGGTACAGCAGAGCTCACATCTAGCAGTGCGACATCATCAAGTAATTCGAATAATACCTCACCTCATAGAATGTCACCACAAGTAGTTTTTAAACGGCCCGGTGATCCGGTATCTTTCGAAAGCTCCATGGCGAAGCGGGCAAAAATTTTAGAGGAAGGTAGACCATTACGTGAAATAAGTAGTGTTATGATGACTACTTCCGGTTTTTTATCACCTGCGCGAGAAGGAAAGCTACCTGAAGCAAGGACACCGCATCAAGTGCGATCGGATTCGCCACAACCGAGTTCTTATCCGATGGTACCACCTGAATTGAAGTGCGAAAAGAAACCGAAGAAGATTGTTAAGAAAGGTCCTGAGAATCGTAAACTCGACAAAGAGAACAAGAAGAAAAAAGGCGCGAAAGAATTGTTTAAGCCGGATAAAATGGATGAAAGTAAGATAAAAAAATTAGTTGGCATGAAGGAGTTAGCCAAATTGAAACCATTGAAGCCAGGTGGTGGCAAAGTACAATCCACTATGCTACAAGAGCTTACGACCAGCAGACCATCCACACCGAAAATTACGTCACCGAAATCAGGAGTTGTTGGTAGTTCGAAACCATCGAAAGCCGCGCAACCGAAAGTTAAGAGCGAGAAGACGTTAGATCCGATAGACGATGCTCCTATTGTTGAGAAAAAGGAAGATACCATCGATAAATTACCATCAGAACCAGATAAACAGAAACTGAACATTTTTAAAAAAATATCGAAACCGCGCGAAGAAAAAGACAAGGACAAAGAAATTTCGGAACCGCATAAGTATAAAGATATTCTCGATTCGCGCGAAAACTCACCAGAGTTGATAATAGATGTCGACAATATGGAGAAGCATGCACATCGTAACGACGCAGACACGAAAGGAGGATACGAAGAGAAGAGGACACCGCATACGCCGGATGTGCAACCAGACGCCGATTTGGCAGACGTACAGAGTTCAGAATCGGATGTTTATATATTTGACGATGCCGACATCTCACCGCCAGGTACGCCTAGTACGCCGAAAACTCCTGAATTGAATGTACCCACTGTATCGGAGCAAAAACGAAAGAAAAAAGAGAAAAGCGGCAAGAAGAAAGAATCCAAATTGAAGAGTCCAAAACAATGCATCAGCCCAAAGAAGGTAGGATCACCTTATGTATACGCGTATACAGGGTGTCCCAAAAATCCCGGACCGGTCGAATATTTCATAAACTATGCACTTTAGAAAGAAATGTGTCAGACAAAAGTTGTATGGCTTGAAGGGGACCATCAGATAATGGCAATGATTTGACCTTTGAGAGTCATTTGAAAGTGACGTAAAGGTCACCTTCAATTTCTTAAATGGAACTCCCTATTTTTTATTACATATTCGTGTAGCTTATCTCGAGAGCTTTCCAAAACACTATAATTAAGTTAGTTTTCATTAAGTACTTTCCGAATTATGAGGCTTGAAATTATTTCTTAATTTTACACCGTAAAATATCTTGTAAAATATTTATTTTTCGATTATCTTATCTTAATACTTTTATGTACAAAATAATAAGAGGAATTAATTGGTGTAAAGAAAACACAGAGTTGTTTCAAAGAAAAAATATGTAATTGTTAACTGCAAATTACATATTTTTTTTTAAAACAACTGTGTTTTCTTTCCAATTGATTCCTCTCATTATTTTGTACATAAAAGTATTAAAGTAAGATAATCAAAAAATGAATATTTTACTAGGTATTTTATGGTTTATGCAAAATTAAGAAATGATTTCAAGCCTCATAACTCGAAAAGTACTCAATGAAGAAATATTTTATTATAGTGTTTTGGAAAGCTCTCGAGATAAGCTACACGAATATTTAATAAAAAATAGGGAGTTCCATTTAAGAAATTGAAGGTGACCTTTACGTCACCTTCAAATGACTCTCCAAGGTCAAATCATTGCCACTATCTGATGGCCCCCTTCAAGCGATACAATTTTTGTCTGGAACATTTCTTTCTAAAGTGCATAGTTTATGAAATATTCGACCGGTCCGGGACTTTTGGGACACCCTGTATACTTCAGTCCCTTTAATTAATGTGAAATTGATTTTGTTTCTAGCAATAATTTGATTGTGTGCCATATTTTTATTTACATTACTTTTAAATTTTAACATTAATGTATCTTGCTGGTGGCCACCATTTTTCAGACCAAACTTCTGAATGATTCAGGAGAAGTGGACATACTGGATCGACCAAAAACACCGCAGGCACCTGAGCCGCCGTTACACAGGGAGCCACCTACTCTTCCACCAACACTTCCATTCCCATTTTTCCCTACTTTTCCTTCCGCACCTGGTTTAATACCTCATCCAATGTTCACGCGATTCTCATTGCCATTAGGCCGAGGTGGGCCAGGTCCTCATCCGGCAATGCCCAATTTACCATTACCACCGCGTTTTCTCAATCCATCCATAAAGCCTGAGGATTTTGCTTTGCCGAAAATTAAACCGGTAGAACGTGAGAAACCACTGATTCCCTCTCCAGTCGAATTAACATCTTCATCGATTCAAGGCGAGAATGAAAAAGTGGACAAAGAGAAGGTGGACAATAAATTTACGAAAATGTTTAAGCCAAATAAAGAATTGCCTTTCATTAAAATACCTGAGAAGGTACCGCCTGTAGGCACTTCACCGCCTACAGTGTCTGCACCTGTCGCACCAATCACGCTTGTTACACCAGTACCCGTTACGCAAACATCACCATCGAAAAATTCTAAAACTGAAAAAACAGAGAAGAATGATATGGTAAATTTGGTACGAAATTATATCCGAGATATTCAAATATTTTGGCTGTATTTTATTATTTTTTAGACAAATATTTCGAAAAAGTAATTTGTATATGTGCATGCATAGTATATACTTATATTTCTCTATTATATAATTATATTATAGTTTTATTCTAATCAACTAATTTGATAACTTTTGTGTGTGTGTAATTATTTTTATATACTTATACTTTTTTTTTTTTTTTATAAAACTTAGAAGTCTAAAGAACACAAGAAAGAAAAGAAAGATAAGTTAAAGAAAAAGAAAGATAAGAAAGAGAAACATAAGGATAAAAGCGAGAAAGTGAAAGAGAAGAAGGAAAAGGCTGAGAAACGCGAGAAAATAGAAAAACTTAAAGAAAAGAAGGAGAAAAAAGACAAAAAAAAGGAGAAAGATTCAAATAAGAAAAATATGGTACTTTATTAGCTTTTATTTATTTATTAGCTTTTAACTAATGATAATAAAATTAAATAACAATAAACAATTTATTATGTATATATTACAGAGGGAGGATAAAAATCCAGAAGCTGTACCAAAAATAACATTAAAATTAGGTACAGCTTCTCCTATACCAGCAACACCAGATAATGCTCCTATGAAGAAAATGTAAGCCATTAATCATATTTTAGCAATTTATGTGAGAAAAAAATATTTTATAATTTAGTTTTCCCGACATACAATCATTGATTACTTCTTTGTTTTGTGCAGAACTATTAAACCACTTGTGAAAAAACCTGATGAAGAGATCAAGCGGGAACCTAGTCCAGAATTGGCGAAAATATCGGCATTGGTAACACGACCGCCAAAGCAGAAGTCAACAAGTAAGAAAACAGAGGAGGGAATATTAGATGGAAGTTCTGCTCTTCCTACAGACTCTTTCTCTGCCAATCTTACTAGTGTGCCACTTGCATCAATTCCTCGAACAAAGAAATCTAATTTCCAAAGTTTATCTCAAAGTGAGCCAATACCTTCATCTCAATTTGACAATCCTCCTAAAGTCCTGAAACCTCTAATATCGCCACAACAACCACCATATTATTTTGTAAGTATCCATTTTGTCATATTTACAATAATGGGGATCATTTAAATTTGCATCATAAAAAATCCTAGAATGGTAACATTATAAATAGTATTTTATGGACAAAAAAAGAAATGATAAATAAGTTGAATATATAAATTACTTATGCAGAAAATAATATCTAGAATTTACAAGTTCATGCAAATTCTTAATTTCAAAGCACTATTCAGTGTCAAACAAAGATATGTATTTCTGTCGAATTAAAATCGCATAAGAAATCTACATTATTTTCCGAATTTAAGTAATATGATTCTAATATATTAGGAATTTTTATAATCCATTAAATTTTTATATATATTTAAATAAATTAATAATTACTAGAAATAGTATGTGTATGAGCGCGTACGTGCGCACATAATAAACTTATGCAAAATTAAATTTTAATTGGAAAGAATCGATTAACATTAAATTTATACAGTAAAATCTTATAAATCAATTCAATTTATAACATTATTATAATGTCAATCAATTTGGGGGGATTTTGCTTTAAATTACATCAGAGATTTTCATTTTTGATGATTCATTTTATTCTATAAATCAATGAATTCCTATTATTTTATGCTATCTATGCATTTTAGAATCTGTGGTGATGGTGTTATATCCGTTTTTTTCTTAAGCCACGCTTTTGATATATTACTATATTGTATAAACTATAAATGTAGTACACATTCTTTCTTATACCTATATTTAGATTTATTGTGTATTTTACGTTGCAATCGTTATTTTTTAATCAATTTTTTAACGTTAATGCTCGTATTTCTATTTTTCTCTCTATATCGATCTTGAGTCTTAAATATTTGTTTTATCATTTCATTTTTGCTTTTCAACCCTGTAAAATTTATAATATTTACAAAGAGCTTTTCAGAAAAGACTTAATAATTAATTTAAAAAATAAAGTTAGACATGATATTATTTATTTTACATACACATATTTTATGATGCTGAATTCATTTTAAGCAGAAATATATACACATGTACTCTTATGTACAGAGTGTTTAAAAATTTATAATTTAAGATATAACAAAAGCACTCTTGAAAAATTAAATAATTAAAATATTTGTATTTTTTTTTAATTTCAAGTAATAGTTTTTCAAATATTGTAAAAGTTAAAACTGGCCAATCATAGAATATGTTTAAATAATTGTTTATGAATCATATACGAGTTACTAAACTTATGCATTTGCGATTCATGAACTGGTAATTGTTAAGAAATGTAAAAATGAGTCAACTTGAAAATATTATATCTCAAAAACCATTGCTTGGAATAAAAAATTTTTTAAAAATTTGCTATAGAATCACGAATTTCGAAACATTCGAAATACATATATATGTAGAGTCTCTTATTTTAAATGTATCAGACAAATATCTCGAAAATTAAATATATGGAAAAGTGTTTCGGAAAAATTGTAGAATTTCTAGGGAGAAAATGATAGTTATTTGTTTTTGGAATAACTTTTTTTCACTCTTAGAACATTTGTTTAAAACATTTTTTTGCTATAACGCCTACTTTTCCGGATGTTTGACCGTTTCAAGATTTTTAATATTTACTATGTACATATGTACAAGGCAATTTAGAATAACCTATTGTCCTTAAAATAATATATTGCTGATTCAATTCTGAGACGATTTTTCCTTTTGCAAAATTACACACACACACACACACACACACACACACACACACACACACATATATATATATATATATATATATATATATATATATACAGGGTGGTCAGTTTTAATACATCCAGTCGAATATCTCGAAAACCAAGCCCAGGAAAGAAAAATGTTTCAGACAAAAGTTGTTTGGTTTCGAGGGGTCCATAAGATGGTACCATTGGTTTGACCTTGAAGAGTCATTTGAAGGTCACGTGAAGGTCACCTCAATTTTTTTAAATGGCATCCCCTATTTTTTATTACATATTCTTGTAGCTTATCTTGAGAGCTTTCCAAAACGCTATAATAAAATATTTTTTCATTGAGTACTTTTCGCGTTATGAGGCTTGAAATCATTTCTTAATTTTACATAAACCGTAATATATCTAGTAAAATATTTATTTTTCGATTATCTTGCTTTAATACTTTTATGTACAAAATAATGAGAGAAATCAATTGATGTAAAAAAAAACACATAGCTGTTTCAAAGAAAAAATATGTAATTGTTAATTGCAAATTACATATTTTTTCTTAAAAATAACTATGTGTTTTCTTTACACCAATCGATTTCTCATATTATTTTGTGCATAAATTAAGGTAAAATAATCGAAAAATGAATATTTTACTAGATATTTTATGATTTATGTAGAATTAAGAAATTATTCAAACCTTATAACTCGAAAAAATATTAATACTTAACGAAAAAATATTTTATTATAGTGTCTTGGAAAGCTCTCGAGGTCAGCTACAAGAATATGTAATAAAAAATAGGGGGTGCCATTTAAAAAAATTGAGGTGATCTTCACTTGACCTTCAAATGACTCTTCAAGGTCAAACCAATGGTACCATCTTATGGCCCCCTCGAAACCAAACAACTTTTGTCTGAAACATTTTTCTCTCCCATGCTTGGTTTTTGAGATATTCGACTGAATGGATTAAAATGCGCCACCCTATATACAGGGTGAGTTTTATTGCTTGTGTCAATCTTTTTATCACGCGGGAGATTACCGACTACATAATAAATTGATCGGTACATAAATGTCAATTATTTGGATCGACCTTATCGAAGACCCGAATATAATGTGTACAATTAAAGCAAATTAAAAGCCGAAATTATGTAGTATGAATTTATTATTATTATTATTAAAGCTACATATTTAGTATTATTATTATTATTATTATTATTGTTATTATTATTATTATTATTATTATTATTATTATACACATTATATTCAGGTCTTCGATACGATCGATCCAAATAATTGATGACATTTATGTACCGATTAATTTATTATGCAGTCGGTAATTTCCGCATGATAAAAAGATTGACACAAGCAATCAAATTCACCCTGTGTGTGTATATATATATATATATATATATATATATATATATATATATGCATACATATGTATATATAGTATCCCATTTTAAAAGATACCCTGGAATATCTGCTCAAAAGAGCATTTTAGAGAAAAAGGTTCCAAAAATTGTTTATTTTGAAGGGACATAAGATGGTGTCATTGATTTGATCTTGAATAGTCATTTGAAGGTCACATGAAAGTCACATCCAATTTCTTAAGTGGAATCCCTCATCTTTTCATTACATATTCTTGTGACTTATTTTGGGAGCATTTCAAAATACTATAATAAAATATTTTCACATTAAATACTTTTCAAGTTATGAATATATACATATATACAGGGTTAGGAAAAAGTCTGGATACTCCCGAAAATTTTGGAAACTAAGGGTTATGGAGGAAAACTTTAAATACAAAGTTATAGGATATCAAACGGAGGACATCTCATGGTAACCTTGACTTTGACCTTGAGGATTGTTTCAAGATCAAGTTGTTTTTTTTTTTTCAAACAGGAACCCCCATTATTGCAAAAATAAGAAGCGGCGGAAATTTGCTATCCAACGGTATAAGTAACATGAGGGGCCAAATGTTATCTGGAAGTCATTTGAAGGTCAAATTGTTTTTTTGGTCGAAAATGAAAAAGAAGTTCAAGGGTGATCTTCATTCAGTCCTTGGGGATCACTTTCAAGGTCATTTGAAGGTCAAATCGAGTTTAGTAAAAAATGAAAAAAAAGTTAAAGCGTAATCTTCGTTTCGACTTTGAGATCACTTTCAAGTCATTTCAAGGTTCTATCGCTAAGTTTCCGAATTATAGGCTGATCTTTTACAATTTCTCGGGAAAAGCATCATTTGACCTTCAAATGACCTCCAGATAACATTTGGCCCCCCATATTACTTATACCGTTGGATAGTAAATTTCCCCCGCTTCTTATTTTTGCAATAAAAAATGGGGGTTCCTATTTGAAAAAAACAACTTGACCTTGAAACAATCCTCAAGGTCAAAGTCAAGGTTACCATGAGATGCTCCGTTTGATATCCTACAACTTTTGTATTTGAAGTTTTCCTTCAATAACCCTTAGTTTCCAAAATTTTCGGGAGTATCCAGACTTTTTCCTAACCCTGTATATATGTATATATTCATAACTTGAAAAGTATTTAATGTGAAAATATTTTATTATAGTAATTTGAAATGCTCCCAAAATAAGTCACAAGAATATGTAATAAAAAGATGAGGGACTTAAGAAATTGGATGTGACTTTCATATTATATAGGGTGAGTAGAAATAAATGTTTCAGAAAAAAATTGTTTGACTCAAAGGGGGACATAAGATGATGCTATATGGATTTGACCTTGGATAATTGTTTGAAGATCACCTTTAATTTTTTAAACGAAACCCTTATTTTTTATTGCTTATTTTTATAGCTTATCTCGAGAGCTTTTCAAAACAACATAATAAAAAATATAATAAATATTTTTTTATTGAATATTTTTCGAGTTATGAGTCTTGAACTAATTTTATATATATATATATATATATATATATATATATATATATATATATACAGGGTAGGGAAAAAGTATGGAAGCAAACAATTATTTCCGAAACTATTCATTTTTCGACAAAATGTTTTAGACATAATTTTTATGGTATGAAAAGATGTATTATGTGGCATAGACGGCATGACCTTGAAATGACCCTTACGAGCTGCATACAAATAACGTAAAAAATTTCAAATGGAACTCGTCAGTTTTTGTTACAGATTCTTGTAGCTGATATCGAAACGTTTACAGAACACTGCATATGAGCCCTATTCCCTTAAAAACACTCCCAGTTACGAAACAATTGTGATACAAACAATTTGTATGCACATTGACATTGCTTACTGATTTCGCATCATGACGTTCAGTTGCGTCCACTAATAACATGTAATTGTACCTGTTGTCATATG